CTTGTGTGTGGGGTCTGTGATTCCCAAGCCGATTGCGGCACTGGTTTAACAAATTCGGATTTGCGGGTTCCATCTCAGCGAATTCTGACTCAGTAAGTTTAGGGCAGAGGCCAGCAAACAATATTTTCAACAAATGTCCTGACGCAACCGGTGGGGGAACAAATTTCGGAACCGGTCTCCGAACGCTACTAAATAAGGACTTTCGAAGGAGCACGGAGATGACATCACCACCCTCGAATTGTCGCTGTCCCACACTCTGTCAACATTGGCTTTGCCCTTTTTTGTTTAGATGTGTCGCCTGAGGTCGCCAGATAACTTCTGTTCACCGTGTTGTGATAGGGGGAGAAAGGAACACCTACTAACTTTCTTACAGACAAAAAAAAAAAAATTATTGGCAAAAATTAAGTAGAGTGATTTATATGTCTTAAAAAGTAAAAACAAAGTAAATATACTGTAACTGTACAAAATGGCATGGAGACCACAAGACTTAGGGAAGCCCTCCATTCTACACTGGCTTATGTATAGAGGTTCTCCGCCCAGGGATGTTGGCTATACCTTTCATACTTAGTTAGTTTTGGAGAGGATACCCAGCTATGAAACCGGGACCTCTTGCATACCTAATCTTACAATTCAGAAGTAAATGTCAAAATACTGAAACCTATGGTATTTATTCAAGAAACACATTAAGTCAGAAGAATGCCCATAGTATGTACCGAGTTTATTATATTTACATCGCAAAGAGAAATAATCAAAGTGACATCTTTAGCAACTCCCTGTGGCATTCCAAAGTGTATAAAAACATACTTGGATCAAATGTGTAAACAGGTATTTCATTTTAATTTCCTACAAAGGATTGCTTTAACATCTGACTGGCTTTCTGGACCACTTTATTTTATTTTTTAATATATTTTTATTGATTTCAGAGAGGAAAGGAGAGGGAGAGAAAGATAGAAACATCAATGATGAGAGAGAATCATTGATAGGCTGCCTCCTGCAGGACCCAGGCACATGCCCCTGACCGGAATCAAACCCAGGACTCTTCAGTCCACAGGCCAACACTCTATCTACTGAGCCAAACCATCTAGGGCTGACCACTTTTAATAAATGATGTAATGCTGCCCTTAAATAAAACTATATTTCGCAAATCTTCCATCTCATGACTTCTAAGTCCAACACTTGTTGTTGTTTTAAATCTCTTTACTTTCAGGTATTTCTTTCCCATTTCTTAATATCTGTGAATCACTTGTGTCCTATTTTTGTTTGAAATTTTAGGCTATTGGATTCAGTTTTCCTAAAGTGCCCTTTGGCTCTAACATTTTCATCTTTATGCTGTATGGTTTAGGAAATAATCTCACCATCCCTTTTGTCCAATCTCTAACATTTGGTAGATGGTCCCAAAGTAGTAATTTTATGACAACTTAGAAAATCAAAATGAGAGTTTCATCAGCTCAAATCCATTTTGAACCTTGGGAACAATGAAACTTCATTTCTCAGGTGACCCATATCTGCCAGTCTTATTTCAACCCTGATCATGCTTTGAATTCTTTTGCATATCTACCAGAAGTGGGATTGCTGGATCATATGTAATTCTATTTTTAAATTTTTTAGGAACATCCATACTGTTTTCCATAATGGCTGCACCGTTTTACATTCCCACCAGGAGTACACAAAAGTTCCAACTTCTCCACACCCTCTCCAACATGTTATTTTCTGTCCTATTGATAGTAGCATCCTGATGGGTGTGAGATAATATCCCATTGTGGTTTTGATTTGTATCTCCCTGGTGATTAGTGATGCGGAGCATCTTTTCCCCTGCTCATTGGCCACTTGTATATCTTCTTTAATAAATTGTCTAGTAAAGCCCTTCGCCCATTTTTAAATTGTGTTTTTGTTGTTGAGTTGTAGGAGTTCCTTATATATTCTGAATATTAACCTCATAGCAGGTATATGATTTGCTATTATTTTTTCCCATTCCCTAGGTTACCTTTTCACTCAGTTATTTCTTTTGACATACAGGAGTTTTAAAAGTCTGCTGTAGTCCCATTTGTCTATTTTTTCTTTTGGTGTCATATTCATTATATCATTGCCAAATCCATTGTCCTGAAGCTTTTCCCCATACTTTTCTCTAGGAATTTAATAGTTTCAGGTTTTTAATTGAGTTAATTTTTGTATATGGCTCAAGGTAAGGGTGTAATTTCATTCTTTTGCATGTGGATACCCAGTTTTCCCAGCACCATGTGTTGAAGAGGACACCATGTGTCCTTCCCTATTGTGTGGTCTTGGCACCCTTGTGAGAAATCATTTGCATGGTTCAGTGGTTGACTGTCTACCTATGAACCAGAAGGTCACAGTTCAATTCCTGGTCAGGGCACATGCACATGCCTGGGCTGCAGGCTACAGGCTTGATCCCCAGTAGGGAGTGTGCAGGAGGCAGCTGATCCATGAGTCTCTCTTATCATTGACTAGAGGCCTGGTGCACGAATTCGTGCACGGGTGGGGTTCCTTGGGTGTGGCCTATGGAGATCTGGCTCCAGCTCCTGCCCCCACCCTCACAGCTTCGCAGCCCCACTTGGCACCCTGCCTTGGCCTGGTGCCACCCCCTCACCTACTCCACCATCCCGCCTGCAGGATGATCAGTCGGGGCTGGGCCCCCTTGCCAGGCTCCTTCAGCTCCTGGGAGCTGGGTGGTGACCCTGCCCCCAGCCGCTGCCACTGGTTGCCATCAGCAGGGTGATTAGTGGGGCGGTCGGACCCCCACTTGCACCAGCCTTGGCCTGCCCCCACTGCCTGCTCACCTGCTCCACCATCCTGCCATGGTCCCAGTCTCACTGGGGCCCATTGGGGCTGTCAGTACCTCCACTGCTGCCCACTGCCAGCGCCAAGTCGCTGACACCCGCCATGTTCTGCACCACCCCCTGGTGGTCAGCACATGCCATAGGGAGTGGTCGAACTCCTGGTGTCCTGGTCAAACTCCTGGCCAAACAACCGCCCAAGGGGACAATTTGCATATTAGGCTTTTATTATATAGGATGTTTCTTTCTCTCTTTCCTTCACCCTTCCTCTCTGAAATCAATAAAAATATATTTTAAAACATCATTTAGCCATATATGCAAGGTTTATTTCAATTTACTCCTTTTTATTGCTGACAAGTATTCCATGATGGGTGTACCACAATTGCTTCATTCATTTACCTTTTGGAGGAATTTGAGTATTTCCAGTTTTGGGCAATTACAAATAAAGCCACTATACACATTCACTTATACAGATTGTGTGAACATACATTTTCATTTCTCTTGGGCACATACGTAGGATTGAGATTCCTGAGTTGTACAGTGGGGCTATGTTTAATCTGACAAGAAACTGCCCAACATTTTCTCCAAAGTGACTGTACATTTTGCACTTCCACCAACAATTTAGAAGATTTCCAGTTATTCCTCATGCTTATAAAAACTTGGTATGGTCAGTTTTGTTTTCATTTTTAGCTGTTCTAGTAAATGTGTGGAAGTATCGCATTGTGGTTTTATTGGTTGACTTATCAGAAGTTCAGTCATCTCATAATGGCGCATTTACGTTGCATTTTAATCTTGGGATTGCTAAATATTAAATGAAGAAACGAATCCTTCATTTTCCTGTAGACAAAGAGCCTCAACAAATGGAAGTGAGCTGACCTCCTTATACCACTAAGGGACACTGCTCTTCTCCCTCCCCCACCCCCACCCCACCCCCTTGTAGTTCTGTTTCTGTGCTGTAAACATGTTTTCATCATTGTCCTCAGGACCCGCAGGCAGTTCCTCTTTCACTCACCCCTTACTGGCATCCTGTTAGTGAATTCTTCTTGAGGCCTGAACCTGCTTCATTCTGCCATGTCATGGGCGCAGGCATTTCTGCTACAGCTTGCTTCAAAGCATGTACCTTTTGTTAAACCCAGATTGGTTGGCAAGAATGTGGAGACCAAAAGAAAAGCAATACAAAACGGGGTAAGAGCATGTCAAAAGCATCAACCTCACATTGTTGAAGCAATGTTTTCCATACCCAAAAAGGAACCGTGATCTGACAAGAATGCATGTAGTTATGAAGACAATGCAAAAATCGAAATGTCCATCGTAGCCGGTTTGGCTCAGTGGATACACCGTCAGCCTGCGGACTCAAGGGTCCCAGGTTTGATTCCAGTCAAGGGCATGTGCCTGGGTTGCTGGCACATCTCCAATGGGGGGGGCCTGCAGGGGGCGGCTGATCGATGTTTCTCTCTCATTGATGATTCTGGCTCTCTATCCCTCTCCCTTCCTCTCTGTAAAAAATCAATAAAATATATTTTTTTAAAAAAATCGAAATGTCCTGAAAACATTGTGTGTGCATGGCATGGTGCTGGGCACTTACTAAGCACGCCAAAGGCTTAAAAATGTTATTCAGAAAGGTATGTAGAGTTCCTTCATTGGAAAGGACAAAATGATGTTGATTAATTCTGCCTAAAGCTAAAGGAGAACAATCGATTCTCAGGTCATCTTGCCTTGAAGTTGACTGTATTTTCCCCCAGGGCTTGAGTTCTGAATCTTGCAGTTTCACTTTTTCCCCTGCAGGTGGCAGCCTTCATCACCAAAACTTCACACAGAGCTGACCCCGAGGAGAAAAACCCCTTATCTTTATTTATTTTTTCCATTGGCTGTATCGTTCACTCTACAAATATTTACTGAGCATCTCCTAGGTGCCCGAAACCTGGGAAACAGCAATGGGCAAGCACACACTGTCATTGCCTTCTTAGAATTTAAAAGTTTGCAACAGATCTGGAACTTAATTCAAAGGTGAGAGGACCTCCCCCCGCCACCCCACCCCCAAAGACCTTTCATATGTACGTTCTCGTAGGAGGCACAACCCCTAACTAGAGTCCTTACTCAAAAATAGAATTCCTTCTTGGGCAAAAATGACTCTGTAAAGGTCATTACTGGATATCAGTAACTTTTCAGGCTTACTTGCACTTAAATGTTGGTTTCCAGCCTTGCCAGCATAGCGTGGCTCAGTGGTTGAACTTTGACCTATGAATCAGGGGGTCATGCTCAGGCTGTAGACTCCATCCTCGGTGTGGGGCGTGCAGGAGGCAGCCAATCAATGATTCTCTCTCATCACGGATGTTTCTCTCCCTCTCCCTCTCCCTTCCCTGAAATCAATAAGAATATTTTTTTTAAATAAATAAGGAAGTGTTTTTTGGGTGTTTTTTTTTTTAAGGAGGTTTTCATAAGATCCACACTCAGAGAAAAGAGTTGGGAAGGCTAGGGCTATTGAAATCATCACCAATGTAGAAACGGGGTGTTGAAGTGGGTGGACAGGAGGATTGAGGAATTATAGGCCAGAGTTAACTCTCAAAATGTCCCCCAAATTTGTAAGCCAAACATCTCCTTTTGAAAAAAGTTACCCAAAATTTGAATATAAGACCAAGAGAAGACAGTACAATTCTTTCCATGTCCTCTAGGACATTGTTTAACAAGTCCACCCAAGGATTAATTTTCTAGCAGGGGTTGCCAAACTTTTTCTGTAAAGGTCCAGATAGTAAATATTTTAGGTTTTAAGGCTGGCTTTACGCTCTGTCACTGTAGAGCTGTGTAGACAATGTGTAAACAAGTGGGTGTGGCTGTGTTCCAAAATAACTTTATTAAAAATGCCAACAGCAGGGCCAGATTTGGCCCGTAGGCCAAAAACTACACTTGTGTTTGCCTACTCACTTATTGTTGACGAATGGCTCAGGTTTTTGACTGGTATTTTCAAATTATTTCCCTCCAGTACAAAATGAACCCAGAAGCTTATAGTTTTTATTACTCTGTGGAGATTAACTAGTTTTATATATAAGTTTCCTACTTCTTCAAAGTGCTCTCTGAATCAGCTTTACCATCTTACTATTTTTCTCTTCAACAAGTTGAACAAATTTTTGACATGTGTTCATTCTCTACCTAAATGAGTCGTGTTTTGACTTTTGACAGTTAATACTTTGTTCCCTGGTGATTAGCAATAAAGCCCATTAACTAAGAGCCCTACATTGTCATGGAAGGGAGCAAAGAGAAAAGGAACTTTCGAATTGCATCCCATTCTGTTGTCATACTCAGAGGGCAGAAACCCCCAGTGGTGGGGGCAGCATATTTGTGCCTTTGACAAGAAATAAAAAGAAAAACCCATATGATTTCCCCCAGAACCCCCCTCCCCTCAACCCAAATAGGCATAATACTTTATATTTCAAAAAATGCACTATGGAATGACTCACCCTATGTATCTCCTTTATAATAAAGGCACTGTTCTTTTTATTTATTTTCATTAGTAAAATACACTCCCATTTTATGGGTAAAACCAGAGTCTGGGCTTCCCAATTTCAGAGAGGAAGGGAGAGGGAGAGAGAGAGGATCATCAATGATGACAGAGAATCCATTGATGGGCTACCTCCTGTATGCCTCCTATTGGGGCTCAAGCTCACAACCTGGGCACATGCCCTTGACCGGAATTGAACCTGGGACCCTTCAGTCTGCAGGCCAATGCTCTAGCCACTGAGCCAAACCGGCTAGGGCTAGAAGCATGTTTTTAAAACAATCTCATTCCTCCCTGATTTCCTCAGTAAACCCATGTCCCAAGACAAAGTTTTCCAGGCATAGCTTCATTAACTCCTTCTTCTGATGTGCAGGATGTATTTTCATTGTTCGCAATCAAGGCTTATGCAATTAATGAATCAGAGCCCACGTGGGCTCAGCGGTGAAGTGAACTTTACCGGCAGGTAGAAGCCAAAAGGAATAGAGATCATCCTTCCACGGGTCTTGCTCGTGGCTCGGAAGGAAGCTCAGAACAACACACAAAAGAACGGGTTTAGGGCTGCTAACTTTGCGGCATTCACCCACACTGTGTTCACATTTAAGAAGGCTACAACCTCTCAAACAAGATGCTGTCAAATATGAATGATTTTGTTGCCTTTGCTGTATAACGTCCAGCCTAAAGCTTTGCTGAAAGATGTTCTACAAGAAGCAAAAACCTTCCACCTAAATGGTTGTAAACTCAAGGTCTGCCCTTTTTAAAGTAAGCCTTCCCTGGGACAGAAACCTAGCCCACACACACCCCTCCCCGCCCCGCCCCGCCCTGCCCAATGACCTCATCCCTGCTCCAGCCACCTGCTAAGGTCAAAGCTGTGCTCTCAGGGGTTAGGTCAAGGCCTGCCCCCAGAGGCCCTTGTACTCAGACCTCTGCCAGTTCAAATCCTGCTGCATAACTGAAGCTGTTACAAACTGCTCAGATATTAAGAACCCACTTGACGCACAATTACCCCAGCCTAGAGCCCTGACTGCATCAGAAACTTGCTCTGCACGTGTTATGTTAGCCCCCAAATGTCAGTCTTCATGCCTGCCTCTCAAAGTTTTCTGAAGAGCAAATTAACATGTTGAGGGGTTATGGAGAGAAGAATTAATTACACTACACCCTCCTCAGCCTTTCCAAATGTGAAGTCCACTGAGAAGTAGATGTATGGGTCAGGCAGCTGGAGCTTTGAAGTCTCAGCTTTATTGGTAAGGCTGATTGGAGGACAGAACAGAACAGGACTTCATGCACAGTCACCCTCTGGATCATATTTTTTTTAATATATTTTATTGATTTTTTACAGAGAGGAAGGGAGAGAGATAGTTCGAAACGTCGATGAGAGAGAAACATCGATCAGCTGCCTCCTGCACATCTCCTACTGGGGATGTGCCTGCAACCCAGGTACATGCCCTTGACCGGAATCGAACCCGGGACCTTTCAGTCCGCAGGCCGACACTCTATCCACTGAGCCAAACCGGTTTCGGCTGGA